TAAAAAAAAAAAAAAAAAAAAAAAAGAAAAAAAAAAAGAAGAATACCGAAGTGTCAATAAAACCGAGATTCGAACTCAAAATCGTTAAAACTAGGTAAAAGTATCAACAAAGAAGAATGAACATGGAAATTCTCGAAAAGTACAAGGAGAATACGACCAGGTGTTCCAAAAGGGTAAGCGTCTTATGCTTAATCGATGACACCCGCCATGTTCTCTACGTCGACTCGAAGTAATGTTCAGTCCTAACATCGATAAATCGGGAAGTGACAACAAAACCACAAGGAATTATAATTAGCATCATCAAAAGCATCAACTTTCGAATCATACAACGAATGAGCATATTTCTCCGCGAAATCCTGATGGCGACCATAAAACGCGACCATACAACTTGTCCATAGTCTTCAACAACCTGCATCTTTGGAAACTATGTGTTAGAAGTTTGTCCGTCAACAGTCGACATCTATTACGGAAGTCGTGATATTCGGAGCAAGCTTTAGAGTACCGAATACACATGTAAACACCGTAGTAGGGAAGCAGAGATGTTGCTATCAAGAAAGAGAAAGTTCGCGGTCGGAAAATCGAAATCGCCCCGCTTATTGTACAGCTTAGTAGTGAGCCTCCAATGCTGGTCGTGCTGTAAGTTAAGATCGAGGAATGCGGCTGAGGTTGAAGAGTCTGTGGTGTCTTTGATTAAAAGCACAGCAGGGTTCACATTTTGTACGATCGATGTGGTCAATGGATTTCTCATTATTCAAAAACAGCACATCGATATATCTGAATATGAAATTGAAGGACTTGAGTTACTTTTGTTACCAGTCCCGATAAGGTCATCAATAAACATAGTTTCGAAGAAATAAGAGAAAATCATTAAACAGGTCTTACCCAAACTTCCTGACAGATGAGCGTTAGTGGACAGGAAAAATGCATATATATATGTGTGTGTGGAGATGATCATCGTGATTCGACACCAAGCACATGATGTAAACTCAGCCAGAAATATTCCTCCAAATACATCGTAGGTGAAATTGGAAAATCGACAAATTAGACGTTTTTAATAGAAAGGGTGGGTGGGTGGGTGGGGGGTGGGGGTATTATCAGAAAGTAAAAAGTAACAAAAGCCGATGAGATTGTCAGGGTGACAGCATCCTCAAACTCCCAGGGGTTATGCCCACCTACGTTCTGCAGAGCACATGAGTTGACGTAACCCCTGGAATTTCTAGGATGCGATAACAGATAAACAAAGTGTATTTATGTCGAAGATATCTCAATAATACGGTTAGATAGGTTTTGGTGCATGAATTACTAGTGTCATCAGTTCAATCCTTTTAAAATTAAATGCACGTGTTCATTGTTACCAAACATTTAAGAACATCACTGATGGAAAGTCAGCCAAGAATTATATTACAGCTATATCTTAAGAGGAACAAATCGATCTACAAATTAGAATCTTATAGGTAGCGAAAGAAACGATGACAGTCAATAAAAGATGACGATCATGTCGAAAATGATTTGAGAAATTCTACAAAGGGATAAGTTTTGATGCATGTAGTTTCATCGTGAAAGTTTTGACATACATGTATCTGGCATCAGAAAAGAAAGCAACCGAAACGAAAATATAAAGAGAAAGCAGAAACGCGTAACTGAAAAAAGACACCGTAACATTCAATCTGGAACCGTCGGCACTTTCCATAAACGAGAAATACTTATCTCGTTTACGGAAAGTGCCGACGGTTCCCGATTGTGTAACATTTACCTTTACTCGAAATTGCAGACTTTAGAACCAGACACATTAGACTACATGAGTAGAATATCAGATACAAGCAACTGCAACGACAATATTTAGAGAAAGCAGAACTGAAAACGAGATACTTTGAAACATTTAAGTTTAATAGTCTTTCAACTCAAGGACACCAGACACCAGTCTCCACTGAGTAGCAGACAAAACACACATTCCAACAAATCTTTCCTACAAGAGACACATATGAATAATATATATTATAATATTCCAAGTAACAGTCGTGCAATGCGCAACACTAGATTACGTCAAGCCAAATTTCCCCATACACATTTCTTGAAGAGAGCACACCAGTAAATGGCAATTCAACTGAAGGAACAATGATGAGTATGTGTTTTGTAAAATTGCATATTTGCGATCTTGTATGGCATAAATAGCTTAAATAGTTGTTTTGTTTAATCAACATTATATAAGATATCGTGAAAATATTAAAGAAAGGATATTGTATATGCGTTTCTTTAGAAGATATTTTAGATAATTCGTTCAAGAAGAAAGGTTATAAAGAACGTCAGGAATTTTGATGATCGGTGGATTCAGCACAATGGCACGCCTGTAAATGCTTTGGTTTGTTTGTGCTTTACGTCCTATCACAAGTTATGTGGTCAGTTAAGGACGTGCCAGGTTTTGTGGTGGAGGAAAGCCACCGACCTACGGCCAGTACCCGGCGAATGCCCCACGTAGGTTTCGAACTCGCGACCCAGTGGTGGAGAGCTAGTGGTAGCAGAATGTCAGACGCCCTAACAACTCGCTCCCCCCCCCCCCCCCCCCTTCTTGAGCCCACAGAGGCTAATTTAATGTGGCCAGTATATATATGTTAAAAACAATTGTGCTTGTTCAATCGTATTTATCTGTCGAAACCCAAAACAGCCGTCACATCATTGTTTATCATCATAGATATTACCGGTACCCGCATAGAGTAATAAACATTGAGTAAATATACATACATGTACTTCAATTAGTTTAAACATTTGTATTGCCATAAATTCAGCAAAAGGATTGGACACAAGCTTAAGTTATATGAACATTATAATCGCCCTTTCCTTACAATTTAATAAAACATATATGTACATCAAAAGATGGCCAAATATCAATATATGTACAATATTATTATAATTGAGTGACTGAATAGAAGTGAGGTAGCGAGGGAGCCAAAAATATTATTCAATTATAGCCTTTGGCTGAAGTCGATACCTTGATTTATCAACCCGAGAAAAGATAAATCCAGGTATCAACCGAAGTTAAAGGCTACAGTTGTTTTATTATTTTTAAAACAGTGATGTAAGCAATCTGAAAAAAAACCACTATAAAAAAAGCTTCGGAAGCATGACGTTGCGTTGTTTGGAGACACGTTATAGTTCTATTTTTAGAAACACCCAGTTCTCCAACAAAAATCACGCGCTCCAAGTCAATATCGGTTTTTATCAGTGGACACGTGATGTACTCCTGGCCAATCACTTGTTGGGAATAATATGAAAAAATAATAATATTCAATTATAGCCTTTGGCTGAGGTCGATACCTGGATTTATCAACCCGGGAAAAGATAAATTAACCGAGGACGCAGTCCGAGGTCAATATTTCTTTTCTCGGGTCGATAAATCCAGTCATTAACCGAAGTTAAAGGTTACAATTGTTTTATTATTTTACAAAACAGTAATGTAAGCAATCTGGAAAAAAAATCTTCGGAAGTGGGACGGTGCATTTTTTGGAGACACGTCATAATTCTATTTTAATCCTTCAACAAAAATCACGCGCTCCAAGTCAATATCGGTTTTTATCGGTGGACACGTGATGCACTCCTGGCCAATCACTTGTTGGGAATAATATGAAAAAATAATAATAGCATGAAAAAATAATAATAACATTGATCATTTTTTCATATTACTCCAACAAGTGATTNTTGGCCAAAAATTTTTTTTTTTTTTTTTTTTTTTTTTTTTTTCAATATGAATGTATACTTACACGTTTTAGATTTATCTATTCAGCTTTCCGCACAAGTTCTGCTGTTTGGTGACAAAAACTATATCATTTGTCCAAAATAAAGACATATATCTGAATGTGTAAATATTTTCATCATTAAATCGAAACTATTTACTTATGGGTCTTAAATACAAAATGAGTACATAGATCTACATGTATATACGGCAAATTGTAGTTTTATACATTTTCTGTATTACAATGGGATACTTCCTCCTTATGCCATCTTTGTTTTTTCCTATTAGGCTCACTATAAAAATGTTGAAAAATGTTGTTGCTATCATATGTGTACATCCACGGACCTTAGATACCGTGGTACATCTTATTAAATCAGATTCATTCATGTCCATGCACAAGTCTATACGTTTCATTAATTGTTTCTAAGCCTTTATTCAATATACATTCAGCAATTACTTATGTTTATGAAAATTAAACAAAGTTTAAACTGAAGGATGAGGGATGATAAACCCTCCGACTTCAAAAGCAATGCCACAGATATCAGCCCAACTTGGAAGTACCTCCCTTTGAACGATCAACACTGTTTTTGATAACAATTTACATAGATTCAGACCAATAACTACAAATGTAGAAACTCTCTCGATAATCTTTTTAAATGTATGTCTTAATTGTTTCTTGTATTTGAATTCTAGACCTAACCACTCCCTTGCGGTATCTGTAGCATTAATCATGGTCATTAACGACACCTAACTTCGAACCGGAAGTTTATCTACGCAGAACCGGGGAAATACCACACGTGTGTTTGGTTTGGTTTGACATCAAGGTTGAACGTCCAAAGACGGGTCTGTATACGAAATGTCGTGGTTGTTCGGCACAGGTAAACCGGCTGCACCAGGGGCGGGTGGCACGCCTCCGCAAGTCCCCGGGTTGGGTGGCATGCCCCCGCAAACCCCTGGTGCAGGTGGCCCGTCCGGATCACCACCCACAGACAGTAAAGGAGGAAAGATGGACAAATACTCATTTGATTCGACTGCCCTCGAAAGAGCCGCTCAGGCCGCAAAGGAATTGGAAAAGTCATGTGAGTGCATGCAAGAAAAATACTCTTTTTACTCAAAAGGAATGAAGTACTCAATGCATTAAGTTTTGAAAATACGTCAGCGTTTGTCGTAAATTTAGTTTCTTATCCTGTCTGATGCAATAATCATAATGTCATATACAATTTTAATTTAGTTTCATTTTACACTCCAGTAGGTTATGGTTAAAGTTTATTATTATTATATTATTATTATTATTATACATATGAAGTAGCATTTTCTGCAGGTATACATGTAGTTTTTTTAGCCAGAGTTTCATTTGGACCACAGGGGTTCTGAAATACACATGCTATCTATACTGATATGGGGTCACATTACATGTTTGTGCTGTGACCCATATCAGTATACTATTTATGTGTATTTTAGAAATTTGTAATGAACCCCAGTGTTTGGACCGGACACCAGATTTTGATAGATAGATCTTCGGTCTGGTCAGTTTTACCTGTCAGACATCTCGGCGATACATACTATAGAAATTATCCCTAAAAGTATGATAGATGTCTGATGTGGGAGGGCGAGCTCAGAGGAAACTCAGGCTGGAGTTTTTCATGGCATACAGGAATCTGTGACCATTGTTTCGATCAATGCAATGCAGATTATAAATAAAAATGTTCATGATATTGGGTGACAACAACTGTCAATAGATAATATTAGGTTGCTGTTACCCAATATCATAAACTTTTTCACTTCTTATTACCAATTGGTAAAAACAAGCAAATGCACTGTGGCTGTTATTTTGCTTTACTCTCTGTTGTAACACAGCAGTAAGTGTTTTGTTATTTTGGACCAAATGAAATAAGTTTATTAGCTTTGATTTGTCAGCCTAAGTCCAAGAGAGTCCAATATTCACGTCCTTTCTGAGATGAACTTTATAGTAACAAACGTCATCAGTTTCACAGGTTCTAGTACACTGTTGTGTGTAGAAATATATTCTTACTGCGAGGCAGACACCAAGACTTTTATTGTGTTTTTTTAGATATTTTCTACAATGTAATGACTACTATTGTTTTTCCTTTTTTATCAGCTCATGCCAAAGATGCATTGCAATTATCCAGGATGCAAGAAGAAACGAAACAGCTTGAACAAAAGAGGAAAATGAGGGTAACGGCTTCCTTAAATTTCCACTTGTTTTTCAGGATATACGACAAACACGAACACACATGCACCACTCATACACCCAGTCACCCATACACACCAATCATCATCATCACATCATCATCACAGTGCTCCAGATAATTTTTAAATATGTTGGGTTTTTTAACCCCTACCTCTCTAAAAGTGGAGGGGTAAAAACTTAAATTTGAAACCATGAAGTGCTGTAAAAACAACATTACTAGAAAATGTTAAAATAAGTTGAATAATTTGTACAAGTTTATATTGTCAAAAATGACTCAAATTTGCCCATTTTAAATAGCGATTGTTGTTTTCAAAGGGCCATGATTCAATCGTCTTGAAATATTCTCGTTCATGTTAGCATTTGAAACAGGATGCATTGATTTGCGTACTATGCAAACGTCTCAGTGACTCACTGTAAGCATATTATAATCTGCTAAATTGTACTTAATAGTGGCATAATTAACAATTCATTGCAATTTAAGTAACTTATGATCTGTTTATTTCTCAACAGGTAAATTCTGGATTTCTATTGAGTTTGTAAAATTTTAAGTATATACCCTTACTTTAGAGTCAAATGGGACAAATGTTAATGCTTGGTGTTAAGTAAATTATTTGTTTCTTTTTTTTTGGTTTGCCTGATCGTGTTTTAAGCATAATAACCATTAATAACTTAGTGAGTCCAGTAAACATTTTCATGACATTTAAAAAAGGTTTTGTGTTCATTCTAATACCGCTGTAGATTTCTTTATGTGACAAACAATAGATAGCATTTGCTAAAATAATCAATATTGAACGTCAATAATTGCAATTCAAATGGATAGAGCCATCACAATATATCAGAAAACAGGTCTATCACAATACACAGGTATAACGTATCGTACCACAATACAGAGATGAAATATTACTGTATCGTAATATTTTTCAAAAGGATATTTTTATGTATCTGCTTGGTGTTTTAACTTTGCAAATTACTCCGAATTCTGATAGATATGCCAATAAGCATAAAGCAGGCTTTTAATAGTTCAAATTTTGTAATCAATGGTTGGTTTGACAAAAATCTTAAATCTATGTAATCCATATTCTTTATGATTAAGTTTGATAACATTCTGACAACAACTTATTATAAAATTGAGCACATCCTTCCTATGACAATATATATTGGGATACGTATCGCAATATATTCATTCTGTATTGCAATATATTGTGATACACTCTTGGCATATTGTGACACCCCTACAAATGGAATTGTGATTCAAATAGAATTGTGATTCAGGTAAACTGTAGCAGCCTTAAAGCTTAATAATATAAGTGCCCTCAAACCACTTGATGCTCAGTCTTTGATAAGTGCAGGTACCAAGCTTAGGGCCAAAGGGGCATGCAAAAGAAAAAGGTAGCCTATTGTAATTTTTGCGCAATCTCTTTCACCTCTGTGACACATAGAATTTAACTTAGCACGACATCGATCCAAAGGTAGATACACTTGTCTTATTTTTTTTTTATTAATTTCCTTTGGAGCCTGGGCTTTCGATTTTTGTTTTATTTTTTATTGGACTGGTTTACACAATTTCATTGCAGGATGCTGATACTTTGAAAGAACAGTATAGAATTGAATTAACCCGTACAGCTGGTGAGGAAAAGAGAAAAACGATGGCAGAAGAATCGAAATACCATAAATCAAAAGCCGAATATGAGGACAGATTAGCAAGACAACGCTACACTGACCAGCTGGGCCAACAGGTAAATAAAGCTTCCACTATAATTTTGATCACTAGGAACTTACAACAATTAAGTTGTGTCTGTTATTCTCAAACTATCAAAGGATAATTTGTTATTATAAGCCTACTAAGCATAAATTGCCTGTGAACGAGGCAATGACCATCTCGTTGGTTGTCAAGTTTTACTTGAAACTGTTTCTAACCAAAAGACTAATTGATTGATTATGGTTCTCAACAAATTTCACTATTTGTCCAAAGAAATCTCATTGTTGTATTTATGAAGAGTATCGCCCCTCTAGGGGCTGGGCCCTTTGAAGGAAATGTACGCAAATCTTTTGAAAGACTATTTCAGTATTTTTAAAAGGTTTTTATCCTAATTAGTATATAATCGTTCCCTAGACTTTGAGAATACCAGGTATATTGTTCATAAATAAAGGGTTTGGTCCCTTCTAGGGGTAGACCAGACCTGCAAGGTGTCAGAGACTTCGTAGACCCATGGACAATAAGGGAAATGATGTAGAGGCTGAAGTTTATTCGTGAGATGTGAAGTAACGTTATTGTTAACCTGTAAGTGTGTTATAACTGATCTGATTGGTTGACAGGCCCTGTAAGTGTGTTATAATATACATGTGTAATATAACTGATTGTATTGGTTGACAGGCGAAGCAGGAAGAAGATATGCGAGCGAAGAACGAGGCTTCCATAGCCAAACAAGAAAAGCTGAGAAAGGGTAAGACAATATTTTAGGTAGTTCCCTGACAATACAATAAATCATTCTACTGCCACCAATTGTCCAGAGAAAGCTTGGCGTTATAAAATGGTTGATAGAGCAATCATAGGAATTCTTCAGGGGGAAAAAAAGAAAGAAAAAGGGACCTTGAAGTATGTTTGCATTAAGCAAGGTTGCAAATGGAACAAGTGGCATTATATTGATATTTTACTGTATTTCTATATTAGAACATCAAAGGGTTACACTGGCCTTGAATATGTCATGATAAGTTGAAGGCTCAAGGTTGTAGGATATTTCTGGCAATTGTCATATATATACTGTATAGAGTTCAAGGATATTTCTAGCAGTTGTCATATATATACATATACTGTATAGAGTTCAAGGATATTTCTAGCAATTGTCATATATATATATATACTGTATAGAGTACAAGGATATTTCTGGCAATTGTCATATATACTGTATAGAGTTCAAGGATATTTCTGTCAATTGTCATATATATACTGTATAGAGTTCAAGCATATTTCTGGCAATTGTCATATATATATATATACTGTTTAGAGTTCAAGGATATTTCTGACAATTTTTATATATATATATACTGTATAGAGTTCAAGGATATTTCTGGCAATTGTCATATATACTGTATAGAGTTCAAGGATATTTCTAGCAATTGTCATATATATATATATACTGTATAGAGTACAAGGATATTTCTGGCAATTGTCATATATACTGTATAGAGTTCAAGGATATTTCTGGCAATTGTCATATATATATATATATACTGTTTAGAGTTCAAGGATATTTCTGGCAATTTTCATATATATATATATACTGTATAGAGTTCAAGGATATTTCTGGCAATTGTCATTTATATACTGTATAGATCTAGAGTTCAAGGATATTTCTGATAGGACTCACATCTACTGTATAGATTCAGAGGATATGTCTGTTAAAACGTAAAGGTGATTTAAAAAGTTAAAGAAAATGTGTGGACACTTTCAATGTGATTCAATCAAGTTATATTTTGCAAAATGCATCAATTATCATTTTACTTTTAGCAACAATGGATTATGAATACGAACTGCGACGTAAAAACGATATGGCACGTGTACAGGCTGAAATGAAGGGAAAGGCTAAAGCTGACAGAGAGAATCACGATCTCATCAAGGAGCAGCTAAGAATCAAGGGCCAGGAACATCGCCAAACTGTGCTCGAGTCCATTAAGTAAGTCATTGCCACTGTTCAGTTGTTTCAGTCAGACCTATTGAAGTAAAAGTAGAACTTGTTTGTCGTCTCCTGTTCCATGATGTCAAGGAGTGACTAAATATAAGGCAAAACAAAATTACAGTTGTGTTTCATGTTCTGGCTCAAAAAATATTTTTTCTGGCAATAGAAATCTCATTTTCTCAAGTGTATACATTTAATTTATCATAATAAACTTTGATTCAAGTCTATCAAATATGTTCTATAAATCCACTAGAGATTCTGACTGAATGGGGTGTCGTGCTACCCTATCTAAGTTAAGACTTTTCAGTATAGTCCCAATCGGGACACTGTTGTTATATGACTTTAGCTGTTACAAGAACACTGTACTTTAAAAAAGATCATATCCATAGATATTAGTATTGAAATTTAAAAAAAAAGGTGTAAAAATAAAACCACCACACAATTGCTACTTATGCAGTAATACAACACAGATTGATTGATTTTGTGATGTATGTTATAACATCTGTTTCCTTTATCTTTTTTAGGACGGCCGGCTCTGTGTTGGGAGCTGGCTTCCAGGCCTTCATCAGTGACTGGGACAAAGTCACAGCTATGGTAAGTGAACAGAAATATACTAGTTAATCAAGTTGTTATTCAGGTGGACAGTTCAATAAACTGGACTTGTAAGAATACAGCGACACTTATATGTATTAGGGGTGGGCAATAATATTGCTGTACCAATATATTGCAATATTTGTCTAGCAATTTATATATTGCAAAATGATTTTGAAATGGCAATATGTTTTCAATTAATTGTTTGGGGGTTAACGATTAAACAACGTAAGGAAATAATTGTACAGAAATAGCATTAAAATTGAGTTAACTTCATTCCAATGCAGCATGTTTGGTGTGATATCTTCCATTTTCATCGCTGACCTGATTCAGCTCTCTTTTCATATTTTATTTTGGTGTATGAAATCATTATAAATGTTCTAACTTACAAGGAGGACAATATGATGTGATAAATTACAACTTTTCCTGAAGGCCCGTAAAGTTCTAAAACATTACTTCATTTCCTGAAGGTCCCGTAAAGTTCGAAACATCAAAGTTTGTCTGTAAAGATGTATATTGAAAGGTGGGCTTCCAAGTTTTCAAGTACATCCTCTTTTGCACTGGGAATGTTAAACTTGTGCAAGTGATTTGAACTTGCCAACTTTCTTTACCATAAGCAACTTAGCTCACATCAGTCTCGTGTCTCAAAAATGAAAAGAAAAATATGACATTGTCTTGATTGACAGGCAGTTAAATTCTAAAACACAGCTAGTAAATATATAACCTCTATAGAATTGCTTGCAAAATATATCTACTATCTACTGTTGTTTTTTTTTAAGTCGACTGTAGCAATACAACATTTAACCCTTTCACCACTGTAGACCAAAATGGACGCATCCAGATCAATGCATGGTAGAGTCTACTAAAGTTACACAGGGGTAAAAGGGTTAACAATGGTACCTTTTGGTAGAAATGTATGCACAAGTTTTTCATGAATGACATTTACTTTGATTCAGGCTGCTGGCTTGACAATGGTGGCTGCTGGAGTGTATTCTGCCAAGTATGGTATAGGAGTGGGAGCCCGCTTCGTGGAGGCTAGACTGGGAAAACCTTCTCTCGTCAGGGAAACATCTCGATTAACAGTCACAGAAGCCGTCCGACACCCGATAAAGGTACAACCATGATTAATGAGAGTGTTAAATGTTAAAGTTAATCTCTACCCCGTCCCCCTACCCAGTACTTTATTTGAAGAATTTATCCGATATGATCTGGTATTGAATTTGATATGTTGTTCAGAATATGACATTTTTGTCATTCTCACAATTTTTTTCTTATATAAGACAAAACAAATCTTTTTATATTAAAGATTTTTTTTCAGAAAAGATGGTTCCAAATAAAACTTTAGAAACAAGCTTTTAGTGATTGTCATAAAACGTTCATTTTAAAAACTCAGTTCAAAAGAATCTTAATCCAAACAGTCTGTTTTTAAAAGGGAAAAAAATGAACATCATTATAATTATTGAAGTCTTCGAATCTTGAGGAAGCGAAAATAACTCGTCAATCTAATTATTTTTGAAAATGTGACCAAATATATGTATTTCCAAAGTTAATTTTCTACAGAAGAGGTAAATGAAAATTGTATTTAATTACATGGGCATATAATGTATGATGTGTGTCTTTTGTATTACAGACAGTGAAGCGTATTTACAGCAGTCCAGAGGACGCCCTCAAAGGCATCATCCTTAAGGTAGGTTATATACACCAGTCCAGAGGACGCCCTCAAAGGCACCATCCTTAAGGTAGGTTATATACACCAGTCCAGAGAACGCCCTCAAAGGCATCATCCTTAAGGTAGGTTATATACACCAGTCAAGGGGATACCCTCAAAGGCATCATTCTTAAGGTATGTTATATACACCAGTCCAGAGGACGCCCTCAAAGGCATCATCCTTAGAGGAAGGTTATATACACCAGGCCTGGGGGTGCCCTCAAAGGCATCATCGTTATGGTATGTTATATACACCAGTCCAGGGGTTGCCCTCAAAGGCATCATCGTTATGGTATGTTATATACACCAGTTCAGGGGACGCCCTCAAAGGCATTATCGTTATGGTATGTTATATACACCAGTCCAGGGGACGCCCTCAAAGGCATTATCGTTATGGTAGGTTATATACACCAGTCCAGAGAAAGCCCTCAAATGCATCATCCTTAAGGTAGGTTATATACACCGGTCCAGAGGATGCCCTCAAAGGCATCATCCTTAAGGTAGGTTATATACACCAGTCCAGAGAAAGCCCTCAAATGCATCATCCTTAAGGTAGGTTATATACATCAGTCCAGAGGACGCCCTCAAAGGCACTATCCTTAAGGTATGTTATATACATCTGTCCAGGGGACGTCCTCAAAGGCATCATCCTTAAGGTATGTTATATACTCCAGTCCAGGGGACGCCCTCAATTATGTTACGTACTCAAATCCAGACAACACCTTAAAGGCATCGCCTTAAAAATATGTTATATATTCCAAGCAAGATGATGCTCAGAACAGTATTGTCTCGTAGGTTTTAAAGGCATGTATATCTCTGTCACTGCAGACAAATCCATGTTAAGGTCCTTTACTTAACTCATTTACACCTGAAGACACATTTGAACTCTTCAAATTCAAAGGTTGAAAAAGTTCATTATGAAATTTCAGGGGTTAGTGAGTTAATATTCAAAACTTGACAGCATGAAAATGGGAAAAAGAACAATTACAAAACTTGCATACAGCATGAAAATTTGTTATATATATTGTGGTGTAAAATCTTGTGATACATGTACTTCAATATAATAAATTTTATAATTTTCCATTTTTCAGCCAGAACTTGAGGAGAGACTTCGAGATATCGCCATAGCAACAAGACACACAAAGCAAAACAAGGGATTCTATAGAAACATACTAATGCATGGTCCTCCGGGTACTGGAAAAACAATGTTTGCAAAGGTATGAAGTAGTACAATTGAATGAAATACTGGTATTTCTGTGCACAAACTTGTTTCTTGATGAATAAATGAGCTATGAAGACAACCAATTAGGGTATTGTTTATTTACAGTTAAACTAGGTAAATTAAAAAAAAACATTTCCCAGGAGATTTTAAGGATTTGCAAAGTTTTCAGTTTATGAAACTTTAATAACAAAATGAAGCTCTGATTTATTTTAAGAGGTAACCTGGTATTTGATTGGCCTGTCGATGGTATCACCATGATATATGCTACACGGGCAAATTTTTCATTTGCACATGAAGCCCAATTGGCTATTGTTTATGATGCCGACGACTCCAACATACACCATGTACCATGGAAGGTTGTCGGGAGCATTAGGATAACCTGCAAAGGTTATCGTAAGTCCGCCTCACTTTGAATGTTACTGACGTCGTCATGGCAGAGTGACCAATAAAAAGTGCATAAAAAAGGCTAAATTATTGTTTCTCCTACTGATGAGAATCGGAATCGGGATAACCCTACTGTTTGTTGTCATATTTCATTTGAGGCGGTGTGATTTGAGGCGGTGTGATTTTCACTCGGTCATCTTGTTTAGAAAACTGATCAGTGCAGCATAACTATACCCGGGCATAAACAGGGTACAAGATGACTTAATGGATCAAGATGGTATTCATTTAAATCAGGTATTAAGTTTGTTCAGCACTTCCTATTGCACACACAGTATGTCCATAGAAAATATACCCTTCATTCCTTGTATATAATTTGGGCACCTAGTATTGCATATCAACCTATTCCTCTTGTAGAGCCTGGCTAAACACTCGGGAATGGACTATGCCATTATGACTGGAGGTGATGTAGCACCCATGGGAAAGGATGGAGTGACTGCCATGCACAAAACATTTGACTGGGCTAGCACAAGTAGGAGAGGGTATGTATATATGTATTATCATTTCATTATTGCTATACCCAAGTGAGCTTTATATGACCTGGACTGGTTGTGAACCCTGACTTCCAGGACATAAAATGTGACTGGATCAGTTGGTTGTACATGTATATGATAATAATTATTATCATATACAGACAGCCTTAATTTATTTACAATATTTTGAAACAAATTATTAAAACTTTTACTAATCACTCTTGTTGGCCCAAATGTTAGCGCAGGGTGGGGGGATCCTAATGAGGGAGGTAACTGGAGTACCCGAAGAAAACCCATGTGGTCGGGAGGGTGACCCCATACCTTTTCACATCCAATAAAGACCTGTAGCCGAGTACCCTTCTAGTGTTTAGTGTTTTCCTTTAAATCCCTTCAGATCAACAGAGTAAATAGTGTACTTTTTGTGATATCCCAAACCGGTAATTTAATGAACAGACCTGCTGTATCTCACAACATGATTGTAAGATGCAACTTTCATTATACCCCCCTTCAGAACTTAGGCTTTCCTCTTTACCCTCTTCTTATATCGTATTTGATCTGCAGCTGCCCCCATTGCAACACTAGGGACAACTGTTTTTATTTCTTTTCCACTATTATGTTTTTTTGCACTGTTTCCTACGCATCATGTTAGCCCATGGTAAGAATACTTTGCTACTGAGTTCGCTTAAAAACAACTCTAATCTTATTCTGCTAATTGTGTTTCAGGTTACTATTGTTTGTAGACGAGGCAGACGCATTTTTAAGAAAAAGAAGCAAGGTACGTACTCTACATCACTATTCAAGTGAAAATGGTGTGTGTGGAATTTCTCCTTTTTTTAATAAAATCTCTTCAAATTAATCATGTGTAACATTGTTAAGTAATATCAAAATTTACTTATACACAATCAATGAATGTAATAAACATGTCGCAACAGTTCAAGACAGACTGGTCCCTTTGTCAAGCTATGACTGACATAGCTAGTGATAGCTTGTGAACTCAGTCATAGCTTGACAAAGGGGCCAGTCAGTCTTGAAACATTGCGACATGTTTTGTATATTCATTGTTTGTGTATTTCCAAACGGATGAAACTTATTGAGCATAAAGTGTTTGTAAAGTGTTTGTAAATCTATAGTATGAGAAACCATTTTATTATATCCGAATTAAAAAATTTCCATTTGTACCAAATTATTTTACATTTCCTGCTGTGAAACTTCAGAAATTTTGACAAAGTGTTTATGAAATTCTCTAAACCTTTGTGTTTACAATCTGTTTTAGGAGCATATAAGTGAAGACCTTAGGGCCACTCTGAATGCTTTCCTATATAGAACAGGGGAACAATCAACCAAGTAAGTCTGCTTCTCCCCTTGATGCTACGTGAGCTACAAGCTTGCGTTTCCATTCCATCGTCAGTCGGTCTGTTGTTTGTCGCTTGTCTGGGAAATACCCTGTATCCTCATTTACAATTGCCAATTTTGCATGTTAGTCAGTACGTACCTCTTTGGGTTATCCTCACAGTGTTGTATTCTGACAGCGCGTCCTGCGCCACATTTTAAGCAGAGTTATGGACCTTTGTGCCGATACATTTATTTGTCGGGGGCATATCTTATATACTCGAGCCAAGTACAAAAGTCAAATTTTGTGATTGATTCAATCTTAAAATGATGGACTTTTACGTACTGATATTGGGTCCTGTGCTCAGCAGAGTTGTTGCTCTTGGTAAATTGTTAGCTAAGTTTTAGAAAATAAAATACAGTAAACGTGAATTTAACTCTTTCATCAGACGACTCTCCTGCACACACACGCAATCACACATACACTACACACACGGAGGTACGTCCTTAAATGACCTTAGCTGTTAATAGGGCGTTAAACAAAATTAAACCAAATCATCAGATTACAGTTATAATGCAAATATTACATCAGCATACTGTGTCATTATACCATGTACCTTCCAAGATCTCAACAGTGAAAAGTATGAGGGTCATTTCAGGATATTAACTTTTCATTGTCAGCAAAATCAGTAGTATGGCATTGAAACGGTCAAAAATTGCCTCGTAATATACTATAATAATTATGTTGTAAAGAGTATTTCAATATATAAAGTTTTACAAAGATGATCCTGAAACATTTCATTGTTGGGATAAACAGTTAAAATTCAGAAGATTCCAAGATATGCTATAGTTGACTATTTACAGTTTCCGGTCATTGAAGGTCATTTGCAGGGTGACCTGCCCAAATGCAGACAAATTAGGAACTAAATTGTATGGTTATGCTTACCCCAATGGTCAAACATCACATTCCTCTCACTTTTGTGCATGCTCTCTTTTTCAGATTTATGTTAGTACTAGCAAGTAATCAGCCAGAACAGTTTGATTGGGCTATAAATGACAGACTTGATGAGATGGTAGAATTCCTGTCACCATCTCTGGAAGAAAGGGAGCGTCTTGTGCGGCGTTACTTTGACCTGTATTGTCTAGTACCAGCCACAGAGAAAAGGGGGTAGGTACCGATTTATTGATTCAAATGTCGTATGTTTTAATGATTGAAAGAATATAATGCATCGGGAAGGAAAAAACTGTTGATGGAGTGTTTTCCGAACGCAATAGTCATTGACTTGTATAGGAAAACTTGCTCGTCAATGGTCTAGAAGTGTTGTGAAAGAACTAGTCAGAAGGATTTAACCCTTTCACCACTGTATACCATAATGGACTCATCCATATCAATGCATGGAAGAGTCTACTGAAGTTACATAGGGGTGAAAGGGTTAAGGTACATGTCTGTTAGCATGGGTGCATGTTATAAGATGTGTAATTTTAGACAAATGATGTTGTATAAACGGCTAAATGATTTATAGGACTGTATGCCAGGATATTTTTGCTGCAGTTAGCTTTCACCATTTTGACCCTCTGTATTGTGGGTGAATTTATCATGACAGCAAATATTGGCACACAACATACCATTAATAGTAACAACTAATTGTTAAGGGCAAAATTAACTCTGGGCAAATATGAATTATGCTGGTGTAGGATGAAAGGTTGACTCGGCAAAAGTTTCTTATTATTTATTATATGAAACTGTTCAATTTTACAGGCGATTGAGATTAGCTGAGTTTGATTTTGGAGAGAAATGTTTGGAAATAGCTAAAATGACCGAAGGTTTATCAGGAAGAGAAATCTCGAAATTAGCTGTAGCGTGGCAGGTAAGTCGAGCCATTTGTTGCAATGTACTATTTTTTCGCAAAGTCCATCTGTCCATTTGATTTGTTCCTTTGACATCCTTGGATATCCTTGGGCATCTTTTGTGAACCATTCAAGATATCCCTGACCAATGTTAATGGTATTTAGAGTATTCAGGTGTTTGTATAGTTCACATTGTCATGGAAACAGTAGTTTAATTAACTAATTTTAAGTGCTTTTGTGCTGTTTTTTCAGAAACAATTCCGAGTGTTCTCATACATTGTTCGGTTACACACGTTTATCAGTCAACATATTTACTGCAAATTCTTCGAGATAATAAAGCCACAGTTATGTCCCCTTTACCAGGCATTAACTTGGGTGAATTCCAGATATCTATAGGGAGCAGGGAGGCACTTGTAATTGACAACGCACAAATATGGGTGATAAAATCAATAATTATTGGTAACAATATATGGTATTGTAGGAGTACCAAGAGAATGTATGTGTCGATTTAGTGTGTATTGTGTTTTGCTGTCTATGCAGGCTACCACATGTAGGCAACATCATATGGGTATTCTAGATTATAGGGGTGATTGTGTGTGATATGGTGTTTCAACTACTTTGCAGGCATCTGCCTACGCTTCGGAGACGGGTGAACTGACAGAAACGATGATGGAGGAGTGTGTCATGAATACCGTTAGACAGCATGCCAAGAAAGTCGTTTGGCACGAGGAGAGTGCCGCTACAGAGACCAGGGAGATCGGTGCATCGTACACTTCAGAGAAAGATGCTTCCACAGGCGTAGCGAGCGTCAAGAAGGATCCCGTTAGTTAACAATGAGTGGCTTTAGGATGTTTTAATTGGCAGAATGAATGTCTCTCTCGGGGGGCCGAAATCGCAGCTCTCTGATCGGAACATTTCACTTCAGATTGATGTTTTAGTTTATGGAATTCAGGACATCACAGGTCTTGTGGTGGTGTTATGTTGGAGTGATCATTGTGTTTATTCGGTAAAATACAAATTTGTGTATTGAATGTTGAATCCAGGATTTCAAGACAATTGACAAGAATGTTTAGTGAAGTTCAGAGTTTGCAGATTCAACTGAACATGAAAAGTGAAAAGCACTGCCAAGGAAAAAAACTGTACCTCAGTAAAATTTTCACAAATACATTTTTCACCTAATTGTATTTCAAATGACATGTTCACATAGATTATAGTAAGTGAATTTAAGAATAGCAGGTGTAACTAAGATACAAACATGTACATTTTCTCAAGGTATTTGAATTTGTGGTATACTCCCCATATAAATTTATGCCAAAGTTGATATCTTGAGAAATATAAGGGATTTTCATGTACATGTACAGTATTCAAGTTTGTGGAAGGATAACAATTATTTTTGAAAGCACAGATATCTTGAGAAGAAGATTTTATCCAACATTTAGTCAGATTTGCGTGAGAAATGTGCATGTAAGTCTAGAGGAGTGAGCAAGAACTCATGAATATATAATGATCAAAATAACACTGCCACTGCAGTGCCATAACCGTTGGATGGTGCAGGGTACATTTGTGTGTGTCCAAAGTTTTGATTTCACTCTTGAATAAGAAGTAAAAAACACTGGAAGGATTAGCTCAAACTGATTATGAGTGACTATTGTTTTAAAAAACTGAGGGCAAACTTTAGGCAGAGTGAAAATATGAGTGTGTTGTAAGCAAGATGTGTGTTAAGTGTGTTAAGATGTATATTGTGTGTTAAGATATGTGTTAAGTGTGTGATAATCTAGAACCATTCTAAGTACATAGAATTTGGGGATTCTTGCCATACATTTTGCTAAAACTTTCAATTCCAGTTCAAATGAAAGTTGTGTCCAATGTTTCATATTCCAGTTGAATATATTACGAGTACCTGTGATTCCTGGCATGGGACTTCATATCTATCATTGAAGATAACATTCAACAATCAGTTACAATATTATGAGGATATATCAAAACAAAATTTATACAAGGGATCTTTACTGTTCATAGAATTCAACATATTGAAGAAGTGTACAAAACATCCATGCATATGCATTAGTTTAGATAATTTTAGAATACTTGCCTGTGTGGTTTTCAGTTAAAGCTGATGGTGTAAGTGAAGAACAATGTACCATACAAATATTTGTCCCTATCCTCCACATGCAAACAAGAATATATTATTGTTGGATACTGGCCAACTGTCTGACTGACTATATATAAAGAATTTCAGACCTGTACACAACCTTCAGTCCACCGGATAACAAGGCTTGTCAAATAATTAAATAGTTCCTTAATTTGTATGGTATTGCCATCATTCTTAACTTGCATTGTCAGCTTTAAGCTGCGAAATATACTGTAAAAGCTGCTTAATACAATGTTTGGATCATGCGTTGTCAGCTTTAAGCTGCTATATATACCGTAAAACCGTGGAACAAAACTTCAGCATCCACCGGCACGGAATGAAGGAAATGAAACTACAGTACCAATAGCAAAATTATTTCTTATCTCCCTTTGGTTTGTCACAAACCTGTTTTAATATGTATTGGAAATATGAAGGGCCATAAACTAAAGGCAAACTGGTCAAATTAACAGTATCATATTTCGGAGCATTTTCCTTTTCTAGCAGGGTTAAGGTTGTCAAAATGAGATGAACAGCCATCTTGGTTTATAATTGTTTTCAAAGTAAAAGATGCCAAAAATATAACAATTTAAAAAACAAAAACACTGCATTATAAGTCTGTTTTAATCTTTTATTCTGTATAAATAATGTACAATTGTAAACATAGTGTGCAATTTTTGATTGTGTTGACAATAATTTTGTGCATTTAAAATGACATACCTCATATACCATTGTTAAACATCACAGATGGCAAGAATTTATATGATGTAGACAATTACGTAGTAGGGCATTAATTTGAATATCTACATCTACACTAGAAACCAATGCTGTCTGAAAGGCTACCTCAAGCTAGTCATTAGAATTTCCCAAATTGATACATACATAGGACATTTTGTAAGATCATGGTAAGGTTCAATTGAATTCCTGAAAGTTTTACCCAAACAGCAATTCTGGACAAAAACGACGCTTAGGACGGAATAATGACGTCATGTTTCAATAACATAAAATGGTGCTAAACTATTCGGAACCCATTCTAGATTCGTGTTGATCAATTTCATAAATGGATAATAATCGATGAGTTCCGGCCAAAAAGATCACCTAGTATATAGTGATGTCTTAGCGAGGTTGTCTTATAATAATAATAATAATTTGAGGATCTTATATACCGCTTTATCGCAACCGAGTTCGTAGGTCGTCTCAAATCAGTTCACACATTATTATCCGGGGCTATAGGGCCTTTGCAACCAGCCAATATCTTTCAACTCCATGAGAAGCATACAGCTGGTGCTGCCATTTCGGCGCTCACAGCTAGAATTCTACAAGTCTAGCACTGCCCAACCACGTACTCATTTACAGCTGAGTAGACTGGAACAAGCGGAGTAAAGTATCTTGCTCAAAGATACAACACAGTGCCGGGCCGTGACTCGAACCCGCAACCCTTTGGTCATGAGCCCGGCGTCCTACCACGAGACTACCGTACCGTCCTTATCGTTCAGCCGGGTCCGTTATCATGCTCTTAATTGCAACTGGGAAGTTTAAAAAGTGATCTCTTAACATTAGTGGTCTTTTAATAGAAGTGGTCTCTCTTGAACAAGTTTGACTACTCTTTTGACTGCCTGCGTACGTTTGAACATTGTATTGTAGAGCGGGGTCTGAAAATTAGCTGCATCACTAAGTACCTATAGTACTATTCATGTAATAAATCCATGTTTGCTTGGTGTCTGATAGATTTTGGACCAACATATTGAACACTGTTCAATGATTGTTGTTCACTTTCCATGATTGTTTTTTTATGCGTAGAGCTATTTCCTTGGAACAAATCTACAAAACAGTTTTCTAGATGATTTTGAGTGATTCTATTTAAATGTAGGCAGTTCTGCAATAATGACAGCAATATTGATCATGTATTGCTGACGTTTGTGGTTTACAATGTTGTGTTGAGAATGGCACATAATTATACAAATGTATGTGATCGATACATGTGAAAAATGTATGAAATAAATGTGAATCAAAACACTTGTAGTTGTGGTTTCAATAATTTGTAATAATTTAGAAAATAATATGTTAAAAATGTTTCTCCTATATCTACACACTGCTACACCTATATATACGACACCATATACAGACCCTGGACCGTTTTTCTTGTCCGTTTAAACGCAAACGGAACGCAAACGGAACGCAAACGCAATGGAAACGAAACGCAAACGGAACGCAACGGAAACGAAACGCAAACGGAACGCAACGGAAACGAAACGCAAACGCATACAGACCGTTTGGTTAAACACGCTCTTAAAACGCAGTTCATAGCAGACAAATAACGGACTTAGATTTAGATGTACTTGCTCGCGGAAGCGTGTCGGTCTCTGCCCCTAACTCTGACCTGTATTTACCTATACAGGCCGTGTTATTTGCACAGCGGCGGATGCAGATGTACTTATAGGCAACATTTTCCCCGTCAGCACCAACAAAATAATTTGTCGTGATTTTTTCGTGGATATTGATAATTCATTTTGAAATGGAATTAAACCTCTAATGGCATCCGTTTGGAACTCAACAGTACTCAACAGTACAGTACATTTAACATCTAATCACTAAATCTACACGACGTAAAAACACATACCTTTTTATGAATTCATAGGATTAAAAGTATATTTGATGTTGGTGGTTTCTCACTTATCTTTTATTTTAATTTCTATATTTTCCCCAAATATTATTTCAAGGTGAAGCTACGGGAATAGTCTTGAACAATGGATCTTCGACATCAACAATACATATGGATACGTCTAGTGGATAATTCATTTTTTTAGTTTCAAATTCTAAAAAATATTTAATCAATTTGTCGAAAATTAATAAACAACCCAAACTAAATAACGTACGTGTAATTGTTTGTTTTTTATTTAAACTAGGCGATCACAATTCTTCAAAAGGAGATGAAATATGAAACTTGTGTTTGGAAAATGTTTGATATGAATATCATCATATGTATAAAACAAGTGAATGTGATGTGTTTGCATAGAGTATTATTCCTGTATTATCTTACAAATCCAACTGAAGTGCTGCAAGCGAATTCCGTGTAATTATTGGGTTTTTCTCTCTTAAAATCGTACTTCTCTACTTATATCTCAAACAGGTATAATTCTTATGATATTCTCTTTAGTGGTATTATTTGATAATTATAATAAGTATTTATATGAATGATATTGAAGCCGGAGCGTTAGTTATATGTATGTTATCTATACATCTTACAACACAACATACATGTATACATTCTATGCACCCTGTTACGCTTAATCATACTCATTGCTGTACCCACAGACTCAAATAATCTAATTCCGTGCTGTACCCTCAAGTTACACATTTTTCATTTGTCTGAGTGATGAAAACATAATCTGAAATCTGAATTACTTGTGTAATTCCCTCCTTAAAACAGCCTTGGACCAAAGTTTTTTTTATTGCTTTCTCTTGACAGTCATTTGGAAAAGTATATTGCACATATGGTCTTTGCTTTTACCTGGCCTTACATTTATTTTAGTTTAAACGTAACCCCTGTTACCTGCGGCTTTTGTTATTTCAAAGGTAAAGACCACAATGTTACTAACTGTGGTGTCAGGCACAGGGACCCGGGAATTTGCTACACACAGTAGAGTAACTTAATCTGAGAATTTAGGAAGTATAAATTAGATGATTTAGTGGTTAACACTATTTCTCGAAATAATTGCCGCCCCTCCTTCTAACCGCACCCAAGAAATGTACCCTGAACGTTTTGCTATATCAAGCTATGAAAATACTTCGTTTAAGCTAAGAAAGTGCGAACGTCGTAGTTGACTTCGTTTCCGAGATATTGTGATTTATCTGAAAAACACACCTTTGGCTCAGTGGCGATCGCCTCGATATGGGTAGCCCACATATGTGACGTCACTAGTTCAACGCTGTCAAAACAGCCCTATACCGGGAAGCTTTGATCGTGCGTTCGATATGTGAGCTTTTTAGCTACTTACATGATATATTCCGTCGTCACTTGCTTGTGTAGGTAATATTTAAAGTACTACATACATATATTTTGTTTTCCCCATTTTAATGAAGAAATAAGTTTCTACTGAGAAGGCAAATGATGTGCTGTAATACGGGTGTCCGAACACACATGCGGATGCTATCTAAATGAATCCGTGTTTTTGACATAATTCGTTAATCTAGTGAATGTAAATATTATACTTTTTATTATTTAATTGATCACTAGAAAATTTGATGAGCACCTATATACAATACAAAGCAATTGAATAAAAATTGAGTCAAATTAACGTAGGAGCACCCCACCCTTTTCTTTACAATATGTAGATATACGATTGAAACAGACGAAAACATGCACCGGTACAATCATTAATGCTCAAATTGAGCAGCAGCCCGAGTATTTTTACCCACAGTTATAAAATCTTGAAACTTAAGTTTTATTCTTTATGCAATCCATGGAATTTAATAGATATACACACCAATTTAAAACAACCTTGCAGAGGGAGAACCGGTCCGTTCAAGTCTCACAAAGATTAGTAATATATAATGTGCATAACAGGGTCCAGCATTATTTGCCTTGTTACTGACTTTCATCTGTCCGGTGATGCAGTTGTACTGACTTTGATTTGCATATAATGTGACTCTTTGGCAGTACTTAAACATTTTATTTATCTTTTTCTTGAAATTGATCCTTATACCAGAGACGTAATATACGTCTCTGCTTATACATTTCCCTGTTATCTAGACTGAGGACATTGCAGTTAAATGGAAAATTGGAAGACACACATAATCTACACCAATCTACATACTGATTATTATATTTCTAACTACTTTATTGCATGAATATGTTTATATGATTCCATGATATTGATTTAGGCAGTTATGAATGTAATATGCAATGAGCATATTTTAGCAAAGATATGGTTTATTTATAAGTTTATATTTTAGATGAATTATGCGATAATTTACTATTGTAAATTAAATACTTATAGTGTTGATAAATATGTTTAACATGTGTGTATTCTAATGTTGATTTAGGCAGTTATGAATGTAATATGCAATGAGTTGAGACGTAAATATACTATATATGATATAACTTTAGGTTCTCGTTCCCCCCATTTTTATATAACAAAGGAAAATGTTGATTTAGGAAGACAATGGCAAACCAATTATAGTCTGTTTCATACTTACCCCACAGGTAACTTACCTGTGTGAAAGTTACCTGTGTGACTTGTAGCTTTGTTTGGTAAAAATAAGGTTTTAATACCTTTTTGAGGTTCAAATATCTATATAAATAATCGATATATTTTTTATACTTATACATATGTAGAGTTTACAGTCAAATATTTACATTACACTTTTAAACAGATAATATAGAATATAACAGCACTACATAAGAATTCACAATCTATTACAATTTAAAATACATTACCAATATTCACATTTTAAGAATAGTAAAGTTTAGTAATAGCGATCACAAATTGACCCCTCTCAAATGTATATCATATCTCCAATTTAAAGTTCAAGTCCAACAGCCAAGAGGCAGATGTTATCTATCCCAAATAAAAGAGATGTTATCTTTATTTGATACTTATATATCATGTATTGTGAATTACGGGTGTGAAGTATGGGGTTATAGTCCTGCACCGCAGATTGAAAATATATTATTTTTGAAAACCGTATTAGGTGTCAGAAAAACAGTAAATAATGCCATGGTGTATTTTGAAC